TTGAGAAAGATGGATTCCTTCAGGGCTATAATACTATCATTTGGGTAGTTGTGGCGCTACAGGTCAAACTAAAAGAATTTGAAGTTTATTACTTTGGTCTTGAAGCTGAGACAATTTTAGGCTTACGGTGGATTAGTTATCGCTCTGGTTGTGAAGTACGCTGACAATATTCTGAAGGGTTTTGCTGTTTCACTTTCGATCATACTGTCTTCGTTTATTTCTTGGTGGTTTATGGGTGACTTCACACCGTCATTGTGAGTTCTATCTCATCCATTTTTTGTACATTTTTATTTACCTTTGGAAAAAGTCACAGATCATACTGGGTTGTTCACGTCACTCACAGATTATGCCGGGTTGTTAACGTTACTGAAAATTTGAAAATTAACGGAATCGTATCCTAACACTGCGACATCATTGCTTTTTGGTTTTTCTTGCTAGATTTCTATGATCTTTTGCAGCATTTGTGCATATACGTGTAAACCATATATAAGTGAAATCTATTCACCTTTGATTATTGAATCTTTGGAATGTTTTTCCACTCAAATCTAACTATATATTCAATCTGCAATTCTTCCGCGATTTCTTGAATTTGATTTTGAGGGGTCAGCCTCATTGTGAAAAAGTTTTTCTCCGTAGCAACCTTCCTATAACGCCGTTACTAGTCTTCGGTCCTCATGGTTAACTTGTATTATTACTCTGTACAAAAGGAATGAAATTATGGAGTTTTTTGGAATTGTTAAAGATGACATTTTCTTTTAAAGCAGACTCATTCTTTTGTAATTTCCCTGCAAATTTGTTTTGCGGTAAATTTTTGAGGTGTACATTTTTGCAAACTTTTTTGGAAAGCCAGATGTTTGCCCCCTGCATTACATTAAGTTTAAAATCGCTCATAAGCAATCATTGTAATGCGACGATTGGAACCAGTAGATATACCCTAGTCATTTTGCATTCAAACGCAAGTTCCTATTCTTCTCATTTCAACGAAGTCCTAAATAATAATAATATATTTTTGATACAATCAGGTGCAAGAGGAGCTTCGCCTACAGTTCCAAAAAGTAAAGGGGGAACCAAAATAGGATGTAAAACTCTCGGATTTGAAAACAGCGCTTGTAGCAC